TTTATTATCATAAAAACAAAAAGTTTTTTGAGAACGTCTGTTTTTTGGGTTGGCAAAAGGATCAGTGGAAAAAGTTTTTAATTTCAAGTTATATGTTATAATTTTCTCCATATATAAATTTTAAATAATAATAATAATAATAATATATAAGAATTATCTGTTCCTTCAAATAATAATAATAATAAAATATTACATATCATATTGATATACTCACCTGGTATAAGTTAATATAGTCAGGTTAAAGGTTTTTAGATATGGATTAAATCTATAAAAAGAAAATCACAAGATGTAAAGTTATAATTGAATAATTTAATAAAAATTATATACTGTAGTACTTTTTATTTTAAAAAAATAAAATATTTTTATATTCATATAAATCCAAATTATTAATTATTAATTTTATATTATTTTATAATTGAAGCATACTCTTTAAAGTTATTCTAACAATAAAGTTATTTGCTGTTCTTTTATTTCAAGTTCTAATAATTAATTTTGTTTTAGATTATTTTAATATTAAAGTTAATTATTATTTTTTAGTTTTAAGTTTTAGTGATTGATTCAAATTAACATAGTAAGTAATACTTTTCAATCTTCAAATGTATGTTATTAGTTCAATATTTATAGAAAATAAATATAAAAATATTCTTTATTTATAAGTTGTACTAATACTGTATATTATACTAAAAATAATTTGATAAATCGTTATATTAAGTTTATTAATTTTTCTATATATATTATACTTAAATACTTGAATCCTAATTAAATTAAGTTAGATTGCATAAAAATAAAACTCTTGGTTTTTTCTAATAATTGCAAGGTTGAAAACAGAACAAAGTACTGTAGAAAAAATTATATAATTCCTAATAAAAATCTCAGTTCCAACTGATATAGCAAATTCTATAGCACAATGTATTATTAAAAAGTAAATCAACTTGTAAGAAATTATTGATATGGATACTAATATATAGTGTAATTATGGCTATTCAATATTATTAGTCAATAGGAGTTAATTAACTTTAATTAATGGATGTTGGCATATAGGGCGTCAATGAAATGAGTACATCCGTACTACATGAATATATAAAGTATTTAATCCTGGAATGCAAATCCAATCTTGGGTAACTTCTCTTAATCTATGGAATGTTAGAGAATCCCATCTGTGTCAATATCCGTTTCTTGCCATGGATATGACTGAATCGAATGAACATAATATGAACGAAGGGCTCGGTGAAGAAACAGTTATTTTAAATGTCGGAGGGGTGAAGGTAAGGGAGGATACTTTGCGAACATGGATTTTTCATTCAACTTAACACGCCATAATTGGTTTTTCTTCTATTTACCTTCAAGTATGAGACTTACCGTTCCACGCTGACAGCGTATCCAGAAACTTTTCTCGGTACAATGTTCCAAGAACGGAATCAAGAATTATTAAAATCAAGGAATGGTAACGAATATTTTATTGATCGTTCGGGACAGATATTCCATTACATCATGCAATTCTATCGGACAGGGAAAATTTGTTATGGGGATCAAAGTGAGTGTCAAGGGTTTGTTGGTATTACATTGTTCATTTTTGTCGAATATTTTTCCTATTTTTGATGCGTCTAAACTTTTTAATTGACGCATAGTAGGATCAACGCAAATCAGTCTCAAGGAAATAGAAACGGAATTAGATTACTTTCAGATCCCACGTCCAACGGCGTCAGTCATAGACAAAATCGCCATAGCAAAAGTGAGCAATATAATTGATGCATTCAAAAAATTAATCGGAGAAGTATCGGAAATTTACATGAAGGAGAAATCGTTCAAGGAATTTAAAGCTGACATCGATATATTATTTTTGGACAATGGTCAAGCCACTGTAAAAACGGGATTAGAGAAGACAGGCTTGTCCGGTGTATTTTCAAATACTAAGAATTATGCATATAGTATCATGTCCTTGTTCAAAGATGAAATCAAGGATCATCTGGAAAATGAGTATCCCGAGTTGACTTGGGTACATCAACATAACGGCGAGGAGCTGCAATACTGGAAGATCAAAATTACTTTAGCCTGGAGCTTAAATCACGAAAGAATCTTGGCCAATGTTTTGAAATATGTAACTTAATTATCTCTCGCTTGATGTTTCCGAGATATTTACACGTATAAACGCGAATCGAGTTATTCCTAGAAATTGTCATGCACAATCAAATGTAATTTTAAATTTATGTTTCTTTGCAAATAGAAGAACCTCAGTTTATAATCTACGATGCGAATTTCTCTTCATTTAAAGTCCTGTGATAATTGAATCGTAAAGGTTGGGACGAATACAATTGACTATGTTCATCTCGCACTACCCAAAGGTTCGTTATTAATAATTATGTGGGTTAAAGTCATTATGGTGTATACGATTGATTAGAAGGTAAGGTATCTTAAATGTTAGAATGATAAAAATTTAATTTAATGAAACACATTATTGTAATTATCAACATTTGGGCATAATAAATAAATAAAGGCGCGGCTCGCGTAATAAAACTGACTCTATTCCGTATAACGTTTATCCCTCGTCATCTACTCGATCATCGATCAATTCACCGTCAATATTAAAAGATTCGTAAATATTGCTTGGGCATTTTATCCATTGATTAAATGTTTGTGATCTCAAGGCTTTTTTTGCGTTCTGGTAATTTTCGCTCGTGAGTTTGAGTTGGTTGTAGGAAAGGCTTTTATTCCGGGATTCCATGAACAACCTGTTTGCCGACATTTCGGTAGTTAGCGTTACCACACTTTAATGGAAACTTGCGTACTATTCACAGACCAACCTTAGCCTAGGCGGAACGTTATTATCGGGAAATAAGTTTAATAATGATCCAATGCTTTGGAATAAATTTAATTTTGTCATAAAACTCCTGCAAATGATTCAACTATTACATTCCGCGTGGAATAAATCGGGAAATTGTAAATTATAAAACGTTACTTGCATAGTTTTATGAGAATATAATCCAGTTTTCTTGGATCTGATTGCTCCCTGCTTCCTACCAGAAACAAGAATTTCCGCAGAACTTAAACCTTTGATCCACACAGCCGCTTAAACCACGTTTGGAAGGATGAAGTAAACTTGTTTCACCGCAAAATTAGGAATATAAAACGTACACTTCTAAACTGTACCTGTACTTGACGGAATTAGATTTTCACCTGGAAAAAGTTCTGACAAGAAACTATTCGATCTCTCGAATTTTCTTGTGCTAGGAATAATCGTTGGTTCGTGTGTCGCGTATCCATCCGGCAGGTCTATAGTAACAATAGCAAAAAAAATTTTCATGCATGCTTTATTACCAATTTTTTACAAAGTAAATCCTGTATTATTACTCGACAAATTCTGAATTCGTCCGTAAAACGCTCGTTTTAAGTCTTCTCGAGAAAAATAATCACCCACGATAATGGTGGATAGATAGATCGGCAATATAAGCTCAGAAAGAAGAGCTGATTGCAATCCCACCACATTCCATAGAGCGATCTTGTCGCTGAATTATAAGTCCAAGGATGTTTTTTAGACATGCATAACAGTCACGAATTCACTTGACAGCAGATAGAGTGTAGTACCTGCAAGACATTGATAAGGTAGGCTCTGAATCTACTCTTCCTATAATCACGCCATTCATGAATATTGGTTGAGGATCTTAAAGGAAACGTTAAAGAAACAACCTGGCTTGGTTCGTAATACTCCGTAAGAATCATAATCTATCCTTCCTCTCCGAAATCCATCCTTCCCTTTGAGAACCATGATTTCATTTTCATTCAACTTTTCTTTCTCTCGGTTAATTTCATGGGAGCTATCGCGCAAGTCGGAATAAGAGCTTGCGTACAACTCGGCCTCTTCTGGTGATTGATGTAAGGCCAAACTTTTTGTGGAAGCATCGCCGCCTGATGACATTTAGCGTCCCAATTAACACAGGAAAAAGTAAACCTTCACCTTCATGACTCATACTTACAGGGTGCCTGACTCACGTACAAGTGAAAAGTTATGTGACTGTTCCTCGACACAAATGATGACCCGTCTTTCATATAAAAATATGTTGATTCCGATCTTAAAGCCATTTCCAATTCGTTTATAATAAATCTTATTAAATATGAAACCATGTGCAAAGAATTAGTCTTCAAGATATGCGCTACAGCAGTTTTCTAATATAATCAATAGTTTCATAGCTTCTTAACTTGATAAATCCTCTTCGAGATAGCACTTCTGCGTGACTATCATGAACCAGATCGCCACTTCTACTCAATCTACTTTGCGGGAGACATTTTAGGCCACTGCTGTGAATTACGAAGATTATTTGAGATAAGTATGTATTATGCAATATTCAATATTCTTTTAGGTAAAGATTACCCTAGGGAGACGCATTCTAGGTAATATCCTCCCGCATCTGATCTCAAGGAAAAGGAACAAGTTAATGATTGGTTCATACTTTTACGGTCCGTGAACTTTTGAACGCAATACCCTTTACGTGACAAGCCACTATAGCCGCAATTACTGTCCATTCTAATCTATTCTGTATAGTTAATGGCTTTCCACCTTTTCCAATTGTCTTGTATTTTTGATGACATAACTCTGTTACTTCAGAAGAAAATTTCACTGGATCAATTTCCCACGGATTAGAAATTTGTGCCATGGTTTTTGATGTGATATCAGTCTCATCGTAGAATCGTGGTAGTTACTGTATATTACGTATGACAATGATTCGCCTATTAAAGATTCCCACATTGCGTATCTTGATTTGTTATTGGCCACATGTGGCTTCGCGGAACTTTTGACACTACCGTCATCACTTTGTGAAGATGTCTTTTTTTTCACATGAACTTGTGAAACAGATCTAGAGACTATATACGTGACATCGCGTAAACGATCGCTCTGGTAATTTTCGATTTTCTTTTCCTGGGCTTGGCTGAGGATTCCTGCGATTCCCTTGGCATAGAAAAAAGGAAGGAGAATAGTCAACATTTTTTATTATAATTTCTCTTCAAGGATAAATTAATGATCCGTAAACCTAGCACAGCCCTATGTTTTACTTTTTATTTACTATACCTCTTACCCTTTAAAGTCGGGTTGATTGCGCACTTACGGAATGTTGATTTCAACAAAGTTGCATGACTTACTGTAACCCTCCTTTCCTTTTCATTGATTGATCTCGAAAAATCAGATTGATTTAACAATAGCAATTGCTCCTATTTTCAAATCATTTTACACTGCACGAAAAGCCGAAGCCTTATATTTCCTTAGATGGAAATTTTCCGTTATCCGTCAATCTTGTTTAATTTAATATGTTCTGTTAACTGTGAGCATTAAATTGCATCCATACAAACAAGTTTCATCTATGGAAAATGCAAAATATATAAATCTGATCTGTACTTAAAATGAATTTCAGGGAAAAAAGCCATCGTATGTGGTATTTACGAAAGCGGTGGCTGTATATATACATTTTTTTCTTTAGCGTGCACATATGTTCGACGTTTTAAACCTATTTTACATATACCGTGAAGCAAATTTAATTTGATCTTTCTTACCTAGACCCACCAAGTTGATCCGTTCTCATTGCTCCCAAAAAATAATCAAAAAGATGGGTCATCTTAGAACTCTTTTAATCTCGTACTTGGGCGCCCAGTCCGCTTTCTTGATACTCCTCTGCCCGATTCTAGGTGCTTTTTATTATTTCTTCTTCGGGCTTCACGTCTGTCTAACTCTAATCACACAGACCAATCCTCCCCTTTAAATCATAAGAAATTTCAAAGATTATACTTTTTAAGCAAACCGAGGGTGAGCTGGAATTAAATATGACCGTTGAGCATCTGTAAGTTTCCTTGTTTAATACCGAATTGAGCGATGGTAAAAGTTAACGAAATTCTAATTTAACAAACAAAGATACTTAAATACAACCCTCGTGTTGATTTGTAAGTGGCTTACAACCTGAGTTACTCCTATCGATTGACTTTCTTTCGTTCATCCTTCGACTAAATTTTCATGCACGGGAATTATAGTTGGCATTACATACTATACGATTTTCGATTGCTTTGGAGAAACCTACAGTATCAAGCTGACACTTCCGAAAATGTATTTGTGAAACCTTTCGTTTTCTCTCTTTCTTTTTTTAAAAAAGTGCACGAATACTGACGCGTGAACCGATCGCACGTATATTTCTCAAAAGATTTTTGCTCCTCTCGTGGATGATAATACCAGGTACAATTGTATCCTCTTCTCATTCACACGTTACCAAACATTTTTTCTAACTCACGGTAATCTTGGTCAGTAATCTACACGTACTGCACGTTCACAGAGATGAAGGGTGTTCCTTTCACTTGCCCGGATGACTACGATTACAATGATTTGTTAATTCGATCTGCATGTCAAATTAGAGCTGCCAACTTTATTTGCATGTGGGCATTCTCCTTGACCTTTATACCTTTCATAATAACCGTAAGCGTAGTGCGTATCGTTCCGATGCAAGAGGCCTTAAAGTATCATTCATTCACCCGGTACAAATATATGTATAATAACGATCATAATAAGCAAAAATCGGTCATCTTCTTTTAGTTTTTAATCTACCTTATCCTCGCCATTTCCTTCTGACAAAAGAATCATATAAAGCTAAAATAGTATAGATTATTATGAATCAAATACATCAATGTATAGCATATTTTATTACGTCATAAACCCATCTTTTTATAAATTCCAAATTTTCATATTTTATTATGTTTTATTCTTCTAAACAATGACCTCTAAAAACAACGAAGAGAGAATAGTGTTAAATGTTGGTGGTATCAAGGTAAATCAAGATCTATTCCATACTGCACGTGCGTGCATTATCATCAAGTCTCATGTGTTATTTGAAAACTTTTCCCTCTGTGAAAGTATGAAACTTTACGATCCACTTTAACTGCTTATCCCGAAACATTACTTGGAACCATGTTTAGCGAACGCAATCAAGAAATGCTTCATCCCGTTAACGGAAACGAATACTTTATTGACAGAAACGGTCGGGCATTTCATTACATAATGGAATTCTATCGTACTGGAAAACACACGTGGGATCCAGATATTGGACATCAACATTTAAAAAGCGAATCAAATTCAATCGAATGTCTTGTGGTAACCAAGAAAGAACTCGACGAGGAGTTGGATTATTTTCAAATTCCTATCCCGAATATTCTTCAATTACGTGAATTTTACATCGACCTCGCTAAAGATATTGGAAAAATTGTTACAGTCACCTCAGACTTGATTTATGAAGCAATCAAAAGGTTAGAAAGTCAAATAATCATTATCTTTTCCCCTTTTACGGTTAAATTTGGAAAAAAGGGGCCACCCGAGGTCTTGTCCCCGCTCCCTAGAGTACAAAAGATTTTCGAGATCTTTGGCGAAGAAATTAATGAGCAATTACAAGCAACTTATCCAATGTTGACATATCAATTTAACCATAGTTCGGTAACACTTATTCATAATCATCCTCATCTGTTTTGGTACAGAAAAGTCAATGCGTAAAGTTCAACAGAAACAATATCTTTTTTTTACCATACTTATTTCTTGTAATAAATAACCTATAAAGATCTTGGTACATTCTACTGTATTTACTCTTGATCCCTTTTGTGCATGCAATACTTGTCTTTATTTAGAAAGAGCAGTTTTCATTAATAAAATCATTATTTGTTTAAATATAGGATAAAATGCTTTAGTTCGCATAATATCATGATTAATATCAATCTTGATACCGTGTTCAAGTATGAATGACAAAAGAAGAAGCGAAGAATGTTATGATCTTGTTTTTATTTAGAAAGTATTTTTTTTGTTATGTAATATGTTAGCTTATTTAATTTGCTTTATATCTAGCTTACAAATTTTTAACAAAAAATAATTTATTTTAAAAAAGTTTTATACTGTATCTAGCAAAAATTTAAAAGATTTATTATATAATAATTCTAATATACAGTATATATAGTATACTGTATATTGAATTAGAAGTTAAAATAAAAAATAGTTTAATTTAATTTTCTTGCTATTATAAAAAACTGAGTTATCTTTATTAATTACTTTATATTTAGTACTATCTAGTTGTAAAAGATTATATTTTGTATTTTTTGCTATATATTTGAAGTTAAATCAATAAAAAAAATATTTATTTTTTTTAATATAAATATTATTATTTAAATTTTTGTAATTATTTGATATATTAAAAAATATATACTGTATATAAATATTATACTTTGTTTTATTTATTATAATTTTAAACTTGT